CTCTGGAACGAGCTACCCCCCGAGATCCGGACGATTCCGGATCTCCTAACCTTCCGCCGCGCCCTCAAGACATGGCTTTTTCAACAAGCGGGACTGACCTAGGGTGAATTTTAAATAGGGAATAATTTTTAAAAATTTTTAAAGATTTTAAATATGACACAGCTATTAATATATTTGCTTTTTAATTGGTTTTATAGGGAAAATGTTTTTTGTTTTGTTTTTTAACATGCTGTGAGCCGCCCTGAGTCCCTCTGGGGAGAAGGGCGGCATAGAAGTTTATGTTTAAATTAAATTAAATTAAATTAAGAGTGATTGTGTTGAATGCTGAACTGAAGTCAACGAGCAACAAACGCACATGAGTATTTCTTTCCTCTAAGTGCTCCAAGCTCAGATGGAGAACAGAAAAAATAGCATCCTCTGTAGAGCGATTTAGTCGATAAGCAAACTGAAGCGAGTCAAATGCTGGTGGGAGCCTGGATACAATAATGTCATTTATCAGCTTCTCAAAGCATTTCATGATAGATGTCAGTGCAACCGGACAGTAATCATTGAGTCTGTAATTGTGGATTTTTTTTGGCACAGGCAAAATGAGGGCCGTCTAAAAATACGATGGGACCACTGCCTGCTGCAATGAGAGATTGAAAATATTACTTGATGATTTGAATTTCTGGTGATTCATACTTTCAAGTGGGCAAAGAAGGCCCTTTGCAAAGGTAAAAGTGTCTTTCTCAAATTCGGGGATCAAGTTCTTGTTAGTTCCATGCTGAACTTGGGCACCTGAGTTTCAAGGCAACAGGCACAATATGGAAAATACTATATTTTGAACCATTTGGGGTACATTTCATGAAATCTGATTTTGAATGGAGAATTGGTGAATTCCAAAATCCTTGAAACAACCTATTTCACACTTTTGAACTTGTTATTTTTTATACAGCCCTAGCTATAGTACAAAGAGTGACTGAGATGTCCTTAAGTTGCCCAATCAAAATGAAATAAATTGTGACAGCTGTATCTATGTTTTTAAGTGCCCTAATCTGAGTAAGGAAAATTCCCTAATTTGAACCTGACAACTTATCTTCATTGCCACTGTAGTTCTTTATCGTATGATAAAGAAGTTTAAATGAACCAAGACAGAAATCAGTTTCCCACTCTAAAATTTAATACAATGCAAGTATTTGTGCTAAACAGTTTTTATTGAAGAGAAAGGGGGAAACAATTAAAAGTTTGTTTTCTTCTTTTAAGGCTCATTTATAGACCTTAGGCTCTGTTCCCTCACAAGAAACTGACACCCATTACCAGAACAGTGGAGTTTTAATTACTTGCTTTGTTCTGCCCTGCATTAGGGAAGTCCTCAAAACAAAATTTAAACTCCAACATACAGTTCATTTATTGAACTATTGAAAAAGTCCAGTAATTCCCCATAGAGAATATCATAAAAATAAGCAGTCTATTGACTACGTCTCCAAAGCTTTTAGCTCTTTGAGCTATAATCTCTGACAAAGTACTGAAAAAGTCCATCCTCACCTTTATTTCTCACTGAGGTAGAATCTTACCGAAGTAAGACTGCGGTTCGCATTCTTGTTGGTATTGTGATCCATCCTCCCAGTGGATCCTAGGGTTATGCAAGGAATAAACATACTACTAGCAGTATTTTAATCATCAGTAGAGTTTTCAAACTGCACCACCATAACTGCTTACGCAGTCCTTGTGCAGGTTAAACAAGGAGCAAAACCTCCAATGTGTACTGACCACTTTGCTTTTCCAATTACTTTTAAATATTTGTGACAACCCTCCTAAAACATCCCATTGCATAGCCAGAGTAAGATATTCCTCCCAGTCACCAGTATAACAGTTAGTCTTTAAAACAGTCTTTCTCAACCTCAACAACTTTTAAGAGGTGTGGACTTCAACTCCCAGAAGTCCCCAATCAGCATGGCTGGCTGGAGAATTCTGGGAATTGAAGTCCGCACCTCTTGAAACACTGCTTGAGATGAAAGGAACATGAAAGAACATGGTGCCATCAGATGTCATTGGGTGGGTCCTTGCTCTTGAGGAGCTTAGTCTAAAATGGATTTGGGGGAATAGGAACACTTAACAGCGTGAGACATAGATGCTCTAGCAGAGTCAAATGCACCTTTTCTTCCTGAATCTCATTCATTCTTTGCAGAGCATGACGACGATGCTGCTGCTGTCTGTTCTATCGTCTCCAATTCTCAGGAATTCCCAGCTGTCTCTGCATTTTCCGAACTTGTATGATTTCTTTCAGTTGTTCTACGCTCTGGCTGATGTTGACTTTAATGGTGTTTAGCCACCGTGTTTTTTGGTGGCCTCATTTCCTTTTACCACTGTTCATTGCAGAAAGTGGTGCCTTGAAATCCAATAACTGTAGTTCTCCAGTCAAGAGTTTGTCCGACCAATAGTTATAAAGATGCCTTCATGGGGAACAGAATAAGGTTCTTTGAAAGTTGTTCAAGGTATAAGGTGGCTCACCAAAGTGAAAAGAGTCCACTTAAATATATTTTATTCACAGGTCCTTTATCATTCCATTTACAGTTTTACTGTCCTCCAGCACGTGTCTTTCAAGATGATATGGAATTGTTGTGTGTCGTTCATTCACATTTATTGGAAAAGCAGGCTCCTATGACAAACTATCCATCTGGAAGATGGCTATGTTTTCCAAATGTCTTTTCTGTCCTTTCTCCTTATCAAACAAAGGTCAGATTTTTTTAAAAAAAGAACGGAATAATAGTGCAGTCTTCTTTTGTATTTTCTGAAAATGAGATGCAGTCCCCGATATGTCGGGCAGGTTAATTTATCCAAGCTCAATCCTGCATAACTTTTGAAGTTACAACTGTTTAGTGGCCTATTCATTTTTAAAAGCACCAATCTTGTTACCATTTACTTTTTGATTCTTTCCAACCCAAAGGAATGCTGCAAAGAAATTATGTAAAGGGACTCAGGGCTTTATCTGTCTGTTCATCAGCAGAATAGGACCAAATTTGGTGTGGGAGAAGTCATCCGTAAAAGAAAGGTCAAATTTGAAATGATCCAGATCAGGCCAGGATTAAATCCACTCTATGTATCTCTATGAGAGAGGTAGCTGGACAGCAGCTTGGAATGTCGCCCACTGATCTAAGCCCCGTTTCCTCTTAGTCACATGACCCACAGAAGGGCTAAAAAAAGAATTCTGGAAACCCTTTTCTCATGCTTTTCCTACTTGGTTTAAAAATAAGCACTAGCGAAATAGGCCGCTTAAATGAGAATATTAAAGCAGTCTAGTTTCCATTTTAAATTATTTTCCCCCTCTCGCTCCCATCTTAACCTTAAAAAATATACTGTACACTGTGATCATATAGATCCTATACATTTAGGAATGGGTAATCAGGCTGTAATGAATAAGCGCTTAGCATTAAGTACTTGATTTTGTTTTGCTTGGAATTCCCTCCCTACCAACAGCCGCTCAGGTGCCACCCCACTATTATGGGTGGAATAGGTTTGGGCAAGCATGACTCTGAGAGTGTTGAAAATTAAGAAGCTTGTAGCTTCCAGCGGAAGAGCCATCATGGTTTAGCTCCAGAAGTCTTGGACTTGGCGTCGGTCTCTGAAGTCACTATTGTGAGTCTCTCCTTTTAGATCCGAGTAACCTTCCTCTCATGCTAGGGCAGTGGTTCTCAACCTGTGGGTCGGGACCCCATTTGGGGTCGATCGACCATTTCACGGGGGCCGCCAAGCAAGGCTGTCCGCCATTTTTTTTGTCCGCCATTTTTTTGTCCGCCATTTTTTTCCCCCTTTTCCGGCGGGTGCCTTACCTCCCTTGAGCTGGGCCAGCTGGTGGTCGGCCTGCTCCGTCTCTGCCACTTGCCAGTTACGCCTCGGCCGGCGCAGGGGGCAGAACCACGCATGTGCGGCGCTCCCGGGCAGGGAAAGTCCTCGACTTACGACCGGTTGGGTAGTCCTCAACTTACGACCGGTTTAGTCCTCGACTTACGACCGGTTTAGTCCTCGACTTACGACCGGTTGGGGTCACGGCATTAAAAAGGTTGAGAACCACTGTTCTAGGGGCAGGACTGCGAGACCAAAGAAATATTCTTTGCTTATTAAGGCTGTCAAAGGCTGCAAATGCAGCAGCAATCAGGTGGAGCAGTGGTGGCAAACCTGCGGCACGTGTCAGAGGGGGCATGCAGAGCCCCCTCTGTGGGCACATGTGTCGCCGCCCTAGCCCCGTCTCCCCCCGCAGCCCCCTCCTCACTAGCAGCTCCCCTGGAGGAGAGTCGCCCCCGGGCACGACCCGCATGGAGCAGTGCAGCCAAAGACATGGTAGCTGTGGGCTGTGGAGGCGGTAGGTGGCCCTGCAGGTGGGCGGAGCAGGCGGAGTGGGGGCAGGCAGGGTGGGTTTTGGGCACTTGGTATCTAAAAGGTTCGCCATCACTGAGGTGGAGAATTGCACATTTTATACAGGTAGTTCCCGTTTAACGACTGGCCACTTAACAACCATTCAGAGTTACGATGGAATTCAAAATAGATGCTTAATGACTGCTCAAAGTTATGATGGACTTCAAAAAAGCTATTTGTGGCACGTCTGCAAAGTCATGACTGCCGCACCCTACTGCGGTCACATGACTGCATTTTGGGTGCTTGGCAACTGGCTCGCTTTTACAACCGGTTGCAGAGTCCCGTGGTCACATGACCACAATTTGCAACATTTTTTGCCGTTTTCCAGCAGAAAACGGCAAAAAATGCCTGATTTGCTTAATGACTCCCTGATTCACTTAGTAATTGTGGCTGACTCACTTTATGACTGTTGTAAAACAGTAATAGCAAGTTCAGTCACCTGGTGCCTCGGCTTATGACCAAAATTCTAGGCTCCACTGTGGTTGTAAGTTGAGAACTACCTGTACATCATCCATTCTATTCCTGCCCTTCTTCTGCTGGCACAAGAAAGTAACCATTGCCTGGGGGATTGAGTTCAAGATCAGCCGGACTTTCTTTTTCTTGCGCCCTGTCTTCCTCTTCGGTGGGTACAGGGATCTGGCCAGAGTTGTGGCTGTGTTGGGAAAACCTTTCCAGCAAGAGCTGTCTAAGAAACATGACTGGAATGGGTAGAGCAGCCACAACAATCAGGCTAATGAGAAGGCCCAAGGCCCATGGTGGGTATTCCAGCTGCTGCTCCTCTGCCTGGAAAGGAACGGGAGAGAGGAAATTTTAGATGCTTCTCACTTTTAAATCAGGCCTCTTCTGTACATTCACTGGTTGCCTCAGGAAGCGAATTCAGTGGAAAAAAGCTCTTCTCCACACGCTGCTCCAGAGGTAAGCCATAATATGATGCATTTGTTTGGGCTTAACAGTCTGAACACTTGCATTTTTAAAATTCTAACCCAGGGTTAAGGCTAAACGTGTTGTGTGAACCCACCCTTTAAATCAAGGGGTCCCCCAACCCCTGGGCCGCGGCTCAGTACCTGTCCGTGGGCCGTTTGGAACCGCTCCGTGGAAATGACAGGTGAGTGCATGCCCACAGCTCCATTTGTACAAGCAGTGGGCACACCTGCCTAGATGTCACATGTACACATGTCCCTAGATTTCATTTTTTGTTTTGTTTTCAAACAGAAGACGAGCCGGCCAACTGCAATGCGTGAAAAACAAGAGTAGATAAATTCTTACCTTTTCTCTGTTCCAGGCGGTGTAGGTGGGGCGCTTCATGAACAAGTATACCAAACTCGCTAGCAACAGGCACAACATTGCTGCCAGACTCACAAAGCGCCACATGTAGCTGTAGATTTTCCACGGCCGCCAGCCCAGCATGTTTTCTATGTCATCCAAGAACCTGCAGGAAGAGAAACATAAAGGCAAAAGTAGTAGATAGCTGGATGGCGGAAACAAGATTGTTTGCACAAAGGTTACGATTAAACCCTACCTACCTTTCTTCAACCTCCCAAGACACAAACAAACTGGAAACAGGCAGAAATAAGAGAATTACCTGTCAGCTCCATAGATCCAGGCTATGGCAAAAGCTTCGCCGGCTACAACAATAAGCAGGGGCAGAGTGGCTGAATAGTCATCAAACATAGTCACAAAATAGTTGCCTGAGCCCTGAACAAAAACCAAGCCCAGCAGGAATCCAATCATACAGCACACGACTGTAGGGAGAGAAACAAAAAACACAGTGGCGTGAATGGATACCAGTCAGAACTTCTGGATCGATACACTCAATGAGAAATGCCATCGATATTTTTATTTGGCATCACCGGGATGATCATAGGACTAACAGATGGATGCCAATAAGCAGCATAAGATACAGGTGGCAGCATTTTTTTTTCAAATTTTTATTAATTTTCAGATAAACAAATTCTTAATACAAATATGGTGCACATCATTAAACAAAAAAAAAAAACCCCTATTAAACATCATATTTTCAGAGGTGATCGACAGTCCCCCCTCCGCATCCACCCTCTCTTTCACCCTTCCCTCTTCCTTTCCTCCCCTCCTACCCACACCTCTCTCCTCTTTCTCTTCCAACTATCCTACACATCCCACCTCCTTCTTTTCCTCAACCTTCGGATGCAGTTTGGGGGTACTAGCCGACCACCTTCTCTTCACAAAGAAAAAATTATATTATTTCTCTATAACATATTAATACACCAAATTTTATATGACTCTACCCCCTTCANCATAACATCCCAAATCTAAATAAAGCTACCCAAACATAATACAATCAAATATTAACATACTTTAACTCTCATATACAATAATAACATAAATATAAAATATATAATATATAAATTATACTAAGTAAATAGAAATAATAAAAAAATTAATCAAAAGCAATATGATAATTATTCATTTTATACTTTCTCTGAATATAATCTATCCATCTTCTCCAAACCAAAATAAATTTTTCTTGAGATTGATCTTTCAAGGTGGCAGCATTTTTAAAAACAGGAGATGCCATCTCGATCACAGCTAAGAGTAATGTAGGAATGTAACCATTATTTTAATGGCCTATCACAGGGGTCCCCAACCCCTGGTCCGTGGACCGGTACTGGGCCGCAGCATGCCACAACCGGTCCGCACAAATAAGCAAAGCCCCATCCGTGGGATGCAGGCAGCACACAAAACCAAGCACTCTCCGGTCCGTGGAAAAACCTTTCTCCGTGGAACTGGTCCCTGGGGACCTCTGGCCTATCAGATATCTACAGCCAGTATATCTCCATCAGGGTCCCTGCTTCAAACAGAGATGTGAGCAAAATGCAGGCTGGCCGAGCTCAGCTACTTTGCTGCACTCTTCTGCAGCTGTGTTTCTGCTGTTGCAGCATAATGGCAGAAGAAATGCAGTCCAAAAGAGCTATAGGACCTGGATGAGGTTGACATTTAGGGACAACATGCAGTTGCTTGTTTGTTTAGACCAGGGGTAGGCAACCTTGGCTCTTTTATGACTCGTGGACTTCAACTCCCAGAATTCCTGAGCCAGCATGGCTCAGCATGGAAACCTCTCCCTTTCTCCTCAGCATGGCTGGCTCAGGAATTCTGGGAGTTGAAGTCCACGAGTCATAAAAGAGCCAAGGTTGCCCACCCCTGGTCTAGGCCCAGGTGTGGGACAACTGCTGGTGCTATAAGCCAGAATGGAGAAGACCCTTTGAGATCTCTTGCCCAAGACCCACAAAACATGGAACCAGTCCATATGGAACTGGAGGCCAGACTAGGAGCTCCACAATTGTGTACAGACAATCCTTAACTTACATTTGTTTAGCAACTATTTGATGTTACAACAGCTTTGAAAAAAAATGTCTTATGACCGGTCCTTGCACTTATGACCATGGTAGCGTCCCCACAGTCATATGATTCAAATTTGGGCATTTGGCAACCAGCATGCATTGATGGTGGCTGCGGTGTCCCACGGTCCCATGATCGGCATTTGCGACCTTCCTAACCACCTTCTGACTAGCAAAGTCAGATCTGCTTAACAACTGTGTGATTCACTGAACAACTGCAGTGATTTACTTAACAAATAGTGGGGAAAAAGATCCTAAAATTGGATACGACTCACAAGAAGTGCCTTGCTTAGCAACAGAAATTCTGATCCCAAATATGGTCATAACCTGAGGATTGCCTGTATGTTAACATTGGAAAAAGCCCAAAATGATGTTCTTTCTCCTGAAATGTTTTAAAGGGAAAATTCCAATTTCATGGATTTAATATGAAATATACTTGAAGCGTTTGCTGTAAAAGGAACAATGCTTTGTTCTTTGCTTCATTGTGATGGGGAATTTGCATGTCACCTTTTGTTCCTTCAATAACAGGTATCTGCGTGGGTATGGATGCGCCAACCTTCCCTGGTGTCTTGCGGAGCAGAGCACCAGATTGATTTTGTTGTTGGGAAGTAGTAGCATCCAAATTCTGACCCGGCCATCTGAAGTGGCCCCATCAACAATCAACACCATTGGCATTCCATTTTAAATGCAGCTTCTTCTTTCTGGAATCTGAAATCCTATCACAGTGATGGCGAACCTTTTAGATACCAAGTGCCCCAAAACCGCCCTACCTGTCCCCGCTCCGCCCCCTGCCCCATCCACCTGCAGGGCCACCTACTGCCTCCACAGTCCGCCGCAGATCGTCCAGGCGGCCCTGCAGCACCATGGTGGCCACACCCTCCGCCTACACCCCACAGCATCAACTGTGCATGACGGGACGTGAGGGCAGAGTCTTATCCCTGCTGCCTGGTATCATGTCCTTGGCTGCACTGCTCCATGCGGGTCGTGCCCAGGGGCGACTCTCCTCCAGGGGAGCTGCTGGTGAGGGGGCTGTGGGGGGAGGCAGGGCTGTGGCGACAGCACGTGTGCCCACAGAGAGGGTTCTGCATGCCGCCTCTGGCACACATGCCATAGGTTCACCACCACTGTCCTATCATTTTATTTTGCAGAATATTTTAAATCCTACCACCTGTTTAGCGGCCCATATTCTGTAGAGTCCAAAGAACTGCAATTTAAAATCCCAGCCCTTGTGGCATATATTAATGCAGCCATGAGTTCTGGTCTTGCCCCAGGTGAAGAAAGAAAGACTGCCCCTTTCTGGTACCTGTGAAGAGCGTCCGCCGACGGTGGAGACTGTGGAAGTTGTCCAGTAAAGGAGTGATGATTCCTTGCATGTTCCCTAACATGGTGCTTAGCCCTAAATTGAGCAGCATAAAAAAGAACAGTATAGACCAGAAAGGGGCTGTTGGAAACAGGGTCATAGCTTCTGTGAAGGTGATGAAGGCCAGGCCTGTCCCTTCCACACCCTGAGGGAGAAAGAGAGAAACATTGACAATAGGAGCTGTAGCAAATGTCAAATTTAAAGCAGATGGAAAACTTTTAATAGAGTCCGTTCCCCAAAGCCTGCTGATGATGTTACCTAGTTTGGTAACTAAATGTTCAGAAACTATATTGAAACAAGTGCGGAGAGCAAACCACTCCCAGAGTCTTCCCCAATCTGGATCTCTTCCAGATATGAGGACTTCAACTTTAAGACTTCCCCAGCCAGCATTCCCCTAGTTCAGGGGTAGGCAACCTTGGCTCTTTTATGACTCGTGGACTTCAATTCCCAGAATTCCTGAGCCACGAGTCATAAAAGAGCCAAGTTTGTCTACCCCGGCCCTAGTTACACATCCAGAAGACACCCAATAGAGCAGGGGTCTTCAAACGTGGCTCTTTTATGACTTGTGGACTTCAATTTCCAGAATTCTGGGAGCTGAAGTCCACAAGTCATAAAAGGGCCAAGTTTGAAAACCCCTGCAATAGGGTGTCTGTAGAATTCTGGGAGTTGAAGTCCACAGATCTTAAAGTTGCTAAGGTTGAGAAACACTGTACTAAACCGAAAGGTTATGCTTTAACTGGCAAGTCATAATATATGCAGGGCCATGTCTGCTCAATAGCTTGACTTCTTTTTACCCCAAATGCAGCTGTTTGCTTCTTGGGATTGATTTCAGCCCATGACTGGGTGCACACACATCATTCTAATCCATAACCTTGCTATTTGGTTTTGGTGAACTCAGCCACTGGGTTTTATAAATCCTCGTTAACGGTTTGGCATGATCTATAGTTAGCTGGATTTGTGAATCCAGCCCTTGCCTATCCATTCACCTTATTCATTTCATCTTCTATACGACAGTCACCAACTTTCCACTTCTGCAATTGCTTCTTTGTTTCATCCCATTCATCCTGATACCAATTGCTGTATTGAGCAGGTGAAAATTGAGACAGGTTTGCAGGAAGTACATCTAAAAAGGAACCATTCTTCACTAGGTCCGTCAAAAGATTTGCATTTCTGCCAAACAAAACATATAGCACATGTAGAAAGATTAGAAAACATCTTAACTCTCAAACAGAACATAAAAACCCAAACTCAGTGACCTGGAAGACATTAGACAAAGGTTGGGCAACCAAGGCTTGGAGGCAACATTGGAATTTCAAGAATAAGTTGGGTGACAATACTGGAGTTTGAGGTCCAACACATCTGGAGAGTTCCAGGTAGAGTTTAAACTGTTGCAAATTAATTGGTGGTGGAGTGGTTAGAATATAGTATTGCAGGCTAACTCTGCCCACAGCCAGGAGTTTGATCCTGATTGGCTCAAGGTTGACTCAGCCTTCTTTCGAGATTGGTAAAATGAAGACCCAGATTGTTGCGGGTAATATGCTGACTCTGTAAAACTGCTTAGAGAGGGCTGTAAAGCACTATGGAGCGGTACTGTATAAGTCTAAGTCAGGGATCTTCAAACTTGGCCCTTTTATGACTTGTGGACTTCAACTCCCAGAATTCCTCAGTCAGGCACGCTGGCTGAGAAATTCTGGGAGATGAAGTCCACAAGTCATAAAAGGGTCAAGTTTGAAGACCCCTGGTCTAAGTGCTATTGCTATTTTTATGACCATATGCTTACATACAATAAACAATTAATATACACCAATGTGTTTTATGGACTAGTCACTGACTCTACTAAGGAATGTCCAATAAGAAATGAAAAAGTATGGTCAGAAGTAACCATAATAATAATAATCTGCCAGGCTATCTCGCCTCCTTTACATGGATGATCTGAAACTGTATGGAAAAACACCATCTGAAATAGAATTGCTGCTCAACAGTTTGCATAAACTGCCAAGATGGTGCAATGGAGTTTGGACTGAACAAATGTGTCACTCTTACCATCAGCAAGGAAAAATAGTGAAAAGTGAAAGAATCAAGAAGCTCTATGGAAATAACATCAAGAGTCTGGATGAAGATCACTATGCTTGGTTATCCTTCAAGCTGATACCATGAAGCACATTGGAGTCAAGAAGAAGGCTAGACATGAATACATCAAGAGAGTGAAGATCTTAAAGTCCAAACTCAGTGGAGGAAATACCATCAAGACAATCAACCCTGGGCAACTCCAGTCATTAGATACACAGCTGTAATAATGGACTGGACTCAAGCAGAACTAAAAGTTCTGGCTAGAAAGACCAGAAAAATAATAACAATGAATCATGCCCTTCATTCTCACAGTGATGTTGACTACTTTGCTAGGAGCAATTGTCACCAGACAACTGAAGAAGAAAAAAAGGCAAGAGTATTTGAAGGACAGTGAAGAAGACACATTGAAGCTAGTACACCATGAAGGTTTACTGAATACCAAAGATCAAACTGGCCTATAAGAAAGACCAGATGAAGAATAGAAAAGAGACTTTGAAAGGCAAAGTATTACATGGTCAGTAGACAAAAAACACAGCAGGCAAAGGAGATAACAAGACTTGGCAATGACTAAGAGCAGGAAAGTTGAAGAAGCGGGCAGAGAGGCTAATTCTAGCTATACAAGATCAAGCCTGAAGAACACAAGCATACAAAACAGAACTGAGAAGACAGCAACAGACAGCAAATGCTGCCTCTGCAAAGAAGCTGAAGAAACAGTAAGCAACCTAGTTAGCTGCTGCAAGATTGCACAGACTGATTACAAACAATGGCATGGCAAAGTAGCAATGATAGTGCATTGGAATATCTGCAAGAAATATCATTTGCCTGCAAACAAGAACTGGTGGGACCCCAAAATAGACAATGTAATAGAAAATGAAGAAGCTAAAGTACTCTGGGACTTTTGAATTCAACCAGAAAAGAAGGTTGGGTAAACACTCCAGATGTAACAATTGTTGATAAGAATGACAAAAAAGTCTGAAGAGTGGACATGGCAGAAACTGGAGACAGAACAGAACAGAAAGAACTGGGGAAAAATCATAAAATACAAAGATCTGCAAATAAAAGTAGAATGTGTGGCAAAAGGAAGCAAAGATAGCACCAATAGTGATAGGCACCTTGGGTGCAATCCCAAAAAATCTGGAGCAGTGCTTGAACACCATTGGAATTTAAAAAAATCCATCAGTCAATTGCAAAAAACAGCTTTACTCAAAACAGCTTATCTCTTATATCCTGTAACAATACCTTTTTAACAGCATCAAACACCATCTGCCTATCCCAAATTCCTGGGAAGTTTCAATAGGTGGAGAAAGATGCCAAACGTGGTCTAAACATCTGGTTGACTATGCAATGAACCATAATAATGATAACGATAATAACAACAACAACAACAATAATAACAACAACCCAATTATTCCAGGCATAACTGAGAATAATACCTAATAATATCCAGGCATCTCAAACTGTGAAATGCCCTGCCTCCCTCATAAGCAGCATGAAGGGAACAAATTCAGTCAAGTCATTTTAACTGCAAGATAGGTAGATCCCACGAGAAGGAGGGATGGCTAAAAGATTCTGATGACAGATTTTTTTTGGAGCAAAGAATGAGACTGGTACAGGTGCAGCCAGGTGGCCCAGTCAACCTAGGATCTACCTTTTGCTGTTACATCCCTCTTTGGTACTTGAAAAGGGGTATCATATCCCCCACTCAATCCTTTCTTGTAGGACTTAACTGTTTGATCTCATGATAGCACTTGAGACTTATATACCGCTTGTATGTAAGCATATGGTCATAAAAATAGCAATAGAACTTAGACCAGGGGTCTTCAAACTTGACCCTTTTATGACTTGTGGACTTCAACTCCCTGAATTTCTCAGCCAGCGTGCCAAAGGGCCAAGTTTGAAGATCCCTGACTTAGACTTATATACAGTACCGCTCCATAGTGCTTTACAGCCCTCTCTAAGCGGTTTAGAGTCAGCATATTGCTCCCAACAATCTGGGTCTTCATTTTACTGACCTTGGAAGGATGGAAGGCTGAATCAACCTTGAGCCGATCAGCTTTGAACTCCTGGCAGTCAGCAGAATTAGCCTGCAATGCTGCATTCTAACCACTGCACCACCAGGGCTCTTGATCATGCTTGTTGCCCTTTTACCAACCGTTTGATGGACACTAACCTTTCAACACACTTGTGTGCCAACACATTGGCTCGGAAACCCAGCACGGCAAAAACCACCAGTGTGGCCAGCACCGAGGTAAGGAAATTGATGCCGGACACAAGCAACCCATCAATGTGGCAGTTGTTATTCTGAGGATTGTAGCTGGAGTAAGCAATGATGGTGCCGAAGCCCAGACCCAGGGCAAAGAACACCTGAGTGGCAGCCTGACGCCAGACCTGCATATCTCCCCAAATGGACAGCTTGGGGGTGGAGAAAGATAAGAAATTGTGAGAAAGGGACAAACGGCATCATTTCACGTTTCTGCACCTCTGGCCCTCCTAGACCTTTTCTCATTTGCTGAAAGGCGTAAAAGCTCAACATGCTTTGGTGACCTCACGATTGCACTACTGCAGTGCATTCTACACAGGATTGTCCTTGAAGACTATTTGGAAGCTACAGATAGTCCAGAATGTGGCAGTATGGACAGGCCCATGTAATACCTCTGCTTTGTGAGGTGCACTGCAAGCCAGCAGGCCTCTGAATGCAATTATGAATGGAGTTCAAGGTGCTGGTTATCATTTATAAAATCCTATAGGGCAGATGGCTGGGGAATTCTGAGAGTTGAAGGCCACGCATCTTCAAGGTGCCAAGGTTGAGAAACACTGCTCTAAGGGATAGGGACTGGATCTTTGAGGGATTACCTATTTCTTATAGTTTCTGCCCATTCCATACAGCCTGACAGAGCCAGCATACTCCAAGTCCCATCAATTAAACAATGTCATCTGATGGGATCCATCTCTGACATGAGACCTGCGCTATAGAATACCATCCCAACCTAGGTTTATTTGATCACCACCTTGGAACTGTTTAAGTGAACCTTTAAACCCTGACTCGGTCCTCAGGTTTTAGGTTAGAATGGATGTGGAATTCCTTGGGGGATGTTTTCTTATTCAATTAATTTTAATTTTTTCTGGACTTTCTTTCGTTTTTTTGTATAGCAATGGCACTGAAAAAAATGACTTACAACTAGTCTTTGCTGCTGCAACCGGTATGTATTTACAGCAGTTCTAGAAGTTATGTGATCGCCATTTGCAACCTTCACAGCTGACTTCTGACTAAGCAATATCAACAGGGAAGTCAACTGACTTAAGGATTCCGTGATTCCCTTAACACAGATCTCCCCAACCTTTCTGGCTTGGCAGCCTGGAAGGGAGGAGCATGCGCAAATGGGCTGCTGGCGCCCATACAAACAGACTGCTAGTGCCTCTGCGCATGCAAGTGGGGGGGGCCTCGCCAGCTATTCCCGCAGCCCGGGGGGGGGCTCCCCAGCTATTCCCGCAGCCCGGTGGCCAATAGGCCACAGTCTGGTTCTGGGCCATGGACCATAAGCCAATCACAACTGCAGTGATTGGCTTAACAGCCGTGGCAACAAAGGTTATAAAATCAAGTGTGACTCACTTAACAACTACTTTGCTAAACAATAGAAATTGTGGTCCCAATTATGAATGTAAATTGAGGACTACCGATACTTCAAAATCAGGATGCAGCCCAAAGCGGGAGTCTCTTACCTTAGGGGTGAACATGATCCTGATTCCATCAGCTGCCCCTTCTAGCAGCAAAGCACGTACAAGGAAGCACAAGAGAACCACATAAGGGAACAGCGAGCTGAAATACAAAACCTGGGATGGAGGGAAGATATGATGGAAATGAATATAAAAATCAAGGCATGCTGAGAATCCCACTGGCAGAAGTTATTGGTGCACAAGGGGAACATTTGTCTTTCATGTTTCTGTAGCTTTTCCCCCACAAATGTATTTATTTATTAAACGTATATAGCTGCCCAACCTATACACAGTGGCTCTGGGCAGTGTACATTAAAAATCCACACTTAAAATGCACAAATCCCCTCATTCGGTCTATAATCCAAATTATTTGCTTCCCTTGTTTTGCCTCCTCTTCCCCAACTCCCATTGTCCCTGAAATCTCAAAGTATATGCAAATTTCCTCAGCCCAAAGATCAACTAGTGGAGATGAAAGTTTGGTCCACCATATCTGGAGGCTGCTTTGTTGTTGTTGTTGTTAGTTGTGAAGTTGTGTCCAACCCATCGCGACCCCATGGACAATGTTCCTCCAGGCCTTTCTGTCCTCTACCATCTTCTGGAGTCCATTTAAGCTCACGCCTACTGCTTCAGTGACTCCATCCAGCCACCTCATTCTCTGTCGCCCCCTCCTTCTATTGCCCTCCATCTTTCCCAGCATTAGGCCCTTCTCCAGTGAGTCCTTCCTTCTCATTAGGTGGCCAAAGTACTTGAGTTTCAACTTCATCTGGCCTTCTAAAGAGCAGTCAGGGTTGATCTCCTCTAGGACTGATCGGTTTGATCGCCTTGCAGTCCAGGGGACTCGCAGGAGTCTTCTCCAGTTCAAAGGCCTCAATTCTTTGTCGCTCAGCCTTTCTTATGGTCCAACTTTCACAGCCATACATTGCAACTGGGAAAACCATGGCCTTGACTATATGTAGTTTTGTTGGCAGGGTGATGTATCTGCTTTTTAGAATGCTGTCTAGATTTGCCATAGCTTTCCTCCCCAGGAGCAAGCGTCTTTTAATTCCTCAGCTGCTAGGCTGAGGAAAAGAAGACACCTATATGCAAGATAATGGTAGAGATGTCAATTACAGGCGGTCCTCGACTTACACTATCATTTAGAGACCACTTCAAATTACAACAGACCTCCCCAGGGGTACCTAGCCTGGATTTGAAGTACTGATCCCCCCCCTTATAATCATGTGGTCATATATTGGATGCTCGGCAACTGGCCCACTTTACAGCAGTTTGCAGTGTCTTGAGATCATATAATCATGATTTACAGCTTTTTTGCTGGAAACCAGCATTTACTTCCAGTTTTCAGCTAAAAAAAACAAACAACACCCATTGCGAACCACGGATTCATTTCATGACCACTGCGTTGACTTAATGAACATTTAACTGCCACAAATCAAATAGTAAAATCAGGCCTGGTCACATGGTGACCCAGTTAACCATGGCTTATGGTCATAATTCTGGGCTGAATTAATGTTATAAATTGAGGATGACCTGTATGAAGTCTCTGACGGAATATTTTTGTGTAAAGGCAGAAGAGTGGACACAACCCACCTTGCCAGATGATTTGATGCCTTTGATCATGGCGAGACAAACCAGCATCCAAGCAGCAAAGAGGCAGCCAACAAGGGCTGGGTCAAGACCCCCACTCTCCTCTATGGAGTTGGTAATATGCAAGGCCTTTCGGTTCCAGAAATAGATAGTGGGAGAACTGTCCGTGCATTCAGATTCTGTGACTGGAGAGAAAGGCAGGAAGAGAAAGAGAGAGAAAAAGAAAAAGAGAGCGAGAGAGTGTGTTAGGGTTAGGGGAAATGGGCAACTTTTCCTTTCCCAATGATGCTTAATAACAAAAACAGGACATTTATTTTGGAATATTGTGGATAAAGTTTGTTTGTCGAGTACATCTAAAATATATTGATTTCCAGAATGCCTCTCACCCCAAATGGATGAGTTTTTTTTCTATTTCACGGCAGTTCCATGTTGTTTTAGAACTGCAAAGATTACAAAACTGATTTTAGCAAATATGAGCAAAGGGCAGGTTTATTTGCACAGCCATTTTTTTCTTTCACTAACTCTGGCCAACCAAATATATTAACGCAGAAGCATTTTCAGAAAAGACCATGAGTGTTTTTCCACTCTGTGGCTTGTATCCTCCAGTCTTCAGTTCCAGCACTAACTGTTTTCTCTTGAAATGTACTATAATTTGATGCATTCAAATGCATTTTCCCATACTGCAGGCATAGAGTGTCTTTCTGCATGCAGAAAGTCTAAATTTCATATTATAATCTATCTCTTGACAGTAAGTAGGGTTGGGAAAGATTATTCTCTGGAAATCTGCAAAGACTGATACTATTTGGGTGTAAGACACTGGATGGGCCAACTGCCTATTTGGCCTAAGGTAGCTTTCATGTGTCTCAAGTTCTTGCGTTTTGTTTCCTAAAGAATTCAAGTGCTATGTCAGCTTTCCAGGGTGAACAGACAAAATATGTTGAGCGTTTTCACAAAAGTAATCAACTATAATCAAAATTTCTCTTCCAATGTTTGCTCTTCTTACTGCATTTCAGAATCACTGAGAAGTGTTAATGGTAAATTGTTCTAATGCCTGCAAGCATGAAAGTTTCTACTTTTATGTATTTCAAAAGAAATATAGTTTGTTATAAAGAAAGCAGAGAAAATGATATATGGAATATTGTAAAGTCTTCTTCCTTTTTCAGACAGCAGCTAGCTAGGTAACACCCAATTAAACTAAATTCCTCCCATTTCCCAAGTACTCAAAACAGACAATTTTTTTTATTTATTTAAGGTATGGCAGTTGTAGATTGAAAGCCGGTAGTCTATAATATCATTGCAAGTAATAGTTTCGCTGCCTTAAGAAGGGAAAGCTTAACAATAATAAAATAGTAATAATAAAAGAGAACCCATAAATAACACTGCAGGGGATCTTTTTTAAATAGGACTTGCTCACAACTAAACATTGTTGAAAGAGCTTGGTTCATGGAAAAGACTGCTGACTAATATAGCAATGTGTTTACTGTATGTATCTGAACGACAAAGAACTGCATGACCACTAGATGGCAGCAACTGTAGTTTTTCTATCACTTTCATCTTCAATACTGTAATGCAGTTTCTCACTAGACTAGTAGCAAGTGTGGACTTCATTTCCCAACATTCCCTGTAGTCAGCATGTTGGTGAGAATATTGTGAGAGTCGAAGTCCACTCATTTTAAAGTTGCCATGACTGAGAAATATTATTCTAATGGTTGCCTAGATTTTTGCAGTCCAGGTATCACAGCCCTGGGGAATCACTGTTCATTTACTTAGGCAATTTGCAAAGGAGGATATATAGTGTAGAAACTATTCTTATTTAACTCCTTCTGCATCCAGGAGATGACGTTTCATGCGATTGGGTGGATAAACTTTTTAAGAGATGAAGTTTAATACCTGATTATCTTTTAAGAATGCAAAAGGTTGCTGTGTCCCAGCTCAGTCTACTGGTTTATTTACAATCTTCCATTCCTATATTCTTTCATGGTAGATTAGCAAGATTATACTGTATATGCCTACCTTATTCCAGACCAGGAATCTGTCTCTTTTTTGTTCACACTGACTTATAGCAGCTCTCTGTGATTTAAAAGTGTTTTTTCTCAGGCCTGCCTAGAAATTTTGTGTCAAAAACATGTGCTTTCCCTTTAAGCTAAAGCACGGTGTCCAACCTTTTAGCTCCACACACTGAATAAAGAGAAATTGTCTTAGGCCGCATATAAAGTATGTAATATAGTTAATGTATATAAATCACATAATAATGTTAAAAATTAACAATCTTGTGGGAATGCATTACTAGCTATCCAGGGCCACAAGTGGCCAATGGACTAGACACATCTGAGTTACAAACAACCTATAATGGTCAAACCATAGTTGGGATTTATCTACTACTCAACCAACTCCTGATATTTTGATATCAGTATTTTAAAGAGCCTTAGGAGAAGTTGAAACTTGCCATAAGTTGGGAGGGAAAGAGCTGGTTAAACCATTGTTCCACCACACAGTTCAGGGTTGGGAACTGGGAACTGTGTGCAGGAATCCTTGTTAAAAGCAGCATAATTCTGTGATACAGAGATGCCACAAAACCCCCCAAAAGCCACAAATGCCTATTGTTTCCTGTGTTCCAACTTACCTGCACCTGTTTCATTTTCTGTTCCTGGGCAATTACTCCACGGAAGGGGAAACTGGAAAGAATTACCCAAGTAGAAAAGACTCCATGCCATAATGACGTTATAATATAGGGCAACAAAAGAACACACCTAAAAGGAAAGCAAAATGAATCAGTGTTCCATATTGTCCCTGGACATGGATACAATTGCTTTGATGAAGAGGAACCATTTGCCGACAAACTACAGATGATGTCAAAAACATTTGAAAAGAAATGTGTTTAGAACATGCTAAACCTCTTCTGAAATTTCCAATTTTACGATTCCATTTCAATGTTTCCGATTGCATTGTTAAATTGAATTTTCATAGATTTCGATTTATTTTCATTTTGATTTAATTATTTCGTGTGACATTGCATTGGAATTGAGCTGTGTTGTTTACCATAGCGTTCATTTCGTGACTATAGTTTATTTTTTTCTTTTTTCATTGTTTTTCAATTAACCAGACTGAGCCACAGCAACGTGTGGCCGGGTACAGCTAGTGTATATATGTATGTATGTATGTATGTATGTATGTATGTACAGTTGCAAGAAAAAGTATGTGAACCCCTTGGGATAACGCGGAGTTTTGCATGAATTGGTCATAAAATGTGCTCTGAACGTCATCTAAGTCACAACAATAGAAAAACACAGTCTGCTGAAAATAATAATACACAAACATTACATGTTGCCATGGTTTAATTGAACATAACATGTAAACATTCACAGAGCAGGGA